AAAGAATATTTGAATTACTTCTACTCTATTTCTTCAGACCAAAAAGATGATGTTGATCTAGTTGTAGGGCAAGTTACGAATAAAATAGAAACTTGACCACTTAAATTTAGTTACCCAAGTACCGTTTGATTATATGCACATGGTATGTCTTGGTGTAGTTTCAAAGCTTCTTAACTTTTGGTTAAAAGGTGATTTACCTTCAAGGAAGGTAAATGAAATTTCATCTGCTCTCGAAAACTGAAGACCTCAACTACCAACTGAATTTCCTCGTAAGCGAAGATCATTGAAGGAAATAGATCGGCGGAAGGCAACGGAGTTTCAGCAATTCATTTTGTATACAGGCCCGGTCATTATAGTTGATGCTGATGTATATTTAAATTTTATGACGTTGCATTCTGCAGTTTAGATTTTGTGCCTGCCATAATTCTCTTAGTTCCATGCTAAATTCGCAGGCAGAACCTTTATTTAAATCATTCATCAAAACATATGGCGAAAAATTTGTATCATTTAATGTTCATGGATTAATCCATTTGACTTCAGATGTTAAAAGATTCGGAGGATTGGACAAGTTCAGTGCCTTTCCTTTTGAAAGTCATCTACACAAATTGAAAAAACTTCTTAGAAAATCAGAAAGGCCATTGCAACAACTAGATCGAAGAATAGCAGAGCTCGCTTTGAGTAGTGCAAAAAATTTTTACTACAACTTATTTTAAATTAATTAAAGAACAAATAGGAGTTGCTACTAACATTTGCTGTGGACCACATTATTCAGAGATAATCCTGAAAGTTTCAAAACTACGAAATAAAAAGCCGAATAATTGTTGTATGCTAAATAGTGGTTCCATTGTGCTCAGCTAAAAGTTCAGCTTTTTTCGTGATGAGAATCTTTATGTTGTCGGGCGTCAGTACGATTCAAAAGTAGACTTTATCACAATTCCGTGTAATTCTTCTCTTTTTAAAAATTTTTTTTGGTTAATTTTTATCGAGCATAAATTCTTGGCACATTAATGAAATTAAAATTAAATGTTATTTATTTCATTATCGCCAAAAAGATATTGTTTTTCCCACTTTGCATTCAACTTAAAATTTTTAATCATTAATTTTTGTACATAAGCTATATTTCATTTTATTGTTTGTGATAAATATATATACATTTGGATCAGTGAAAAAAAAATGCATTATAAAAATTTTTACCTGCTCCCAAATTTTAATTCTTTTAAGTTGAAGTTGAAATCTATATATTGTAATTTTTAAGCAAAAATGTTGTTCATCTAGACTAGGTGTTTCATTTAAAGGGTCTCAAAATTCAATAGTTACATCGGTACAATTCTTTTCTATTTTTTCATGTAGTATTAACCCGCAGAATTCATTGTTTAAATTTTTTCCGAAATTTAGTTGTTTTACAAAACAAAATTTCAATTAGCAATGATCCATTTTTGAATTTTAATAATTTTTTTCTCACTTTCTGCTAGATTGGAAAATCTTGGTGGAACAGATTATAAAGACCATACAAGACAAGCACTTCGTCACATCATGTCTGATGATGTTGCTGAACTCTATAGCTGGGTGGGCAATAATGAAAAAAAAAAAAAAAGATTTTTTGGTTGCAGAATGTCAGACGCAATTATTGGTACTAAATCTTAAATAATACTTAATCTCTGTTTTTATATATATATATTTCATGTGTATTTTGATAGTATAAAGTTAAAATACACTTTGTGTTGTTAAAGTTGCCTTTCTAGAAAATGAATTTTATTGCTAAAAGTATATATACCCATTAAAATGGTATTATTATATTTAGTTTTCAAATAAACATCTATAACCAGCTTTTACTTTTTAATGTACTATAATTTTAGTATTCCATGAATTTTCAATTAGTTTATAAATTTATAACATTCTCTGTGTTTGGAATAATTTATAAAGTGTGTAGTTGTTTGAAATAATCTTGTTATTAATATCACCATCTTCTTTTCCAGTCACAGTAGAACGGTAATCATACGATACTTCAGTTATCCAACACTCCTTTTGACTTGCACTTTAAAATATTCTGATCATTGTTGCATGTGCTTGTACTAACAGCTTTATCATTATTACTGTTGATGTGACTAGATTATTCTTGTGACAATGAATCAAACCATTTTATTTGTCGTGAACTAATATACTGTTACGTATGATGGGCAATTAAAAAAATCTAGTTATTTTTTATTTAGAGTGATTTTAGTCCTAATTAAAAAAGCACCTAAAAAAGGTCACCCGTAATATTTTCCCTACATATCTCTGGTCCTGAGAGTAACAGAAATTTGGGCTTCTACTAAATTAGTTTTAGATACCTTTTAAATAGGTTCTGAAATAATTTTATGTTCATCCATAAAAATGCCTACTGGTTTTTTTATATTTTCTTTTTGTTATATTTTGGAAGCTGTTTGCAGTGTTTTCACAAAAACTAAAGTAAATTAAGTTGAAAACATTATATTACAGGCTGGTTGCGCCATGCTAAAGAAAGAAGAGTTTATTCTGAAAAGAAAATTAAAGAAATAATTGTGTAAATAAAAGTTTCACTTATGTGATATTTTTTCTAATATTTTTTTTTCTTTTCTCATATTTATTTGCATACATTAAATTTATGCTGCAAAAAATACATAAATCCTTAAAACAAGTTATCATTATCTTCACAAAATACTGATTTAAGTCTGCCTTCAGCTAAAAATTCTTCAGCAAAACATGCAATCACTGTTTTAGTTTGTATATGAAAGCAGATAATTTTCTAACTTTATTTATTTTTTCAATTGCATCAGTGACACAATAACTAAACAATAAAGTATATGATCCATATACATCTATTTTGAGTTTTTAATAAAATAGTCACAACTTCATTTAAACTATTTTAACTCAGCAGGATTTGTTAGGTGACTCTCATCATCCTAACATTTTTGCGTTTCTACGCGCAATTGGTCTTTTATACTGTATATAACTGTTTTATCCTATTCACCATTATATCTGATTTTATTAATCTTTGAATGCAACTGTTTTATAATGCTTTACTACATTTACATTTTAGCAATCAAATTTATTAGAAACGAAATTGATAGCCGTGAACGATCAGCTCTACTCTCAAAAATTCAAGAAAAGATAATCTTAACGAAAATTTTAAATTCACTCCAGAATCGAAAGAAAAATCTTGGAATAAAAGAAAACCTAAGGTAAGCGCCTTTGCTTTATCAACATTGAATTTGAAATGTATTTTTTGTTCTAAGAATCCCGATAAATTTAAATGTAATGAAGTTAATGTTTATAAGAAAAGACAAATTTTAATGAAAAGTGGTAGATGCTTCAGTTGCATTCAAAAAGGACATTTATCTATATCTTCGGAATGCATGAAAAGAAATCTTGCTTGTTTTCACTGTAAACAAAAGCATCATTATTCTGTTCGTATGAAACAGCCTGAAAACGTAAGTCCCGTTTCAAATAATGATAAAGAAATGCTCGTAAATAAAAATAATGGCTCTCATGTTGTGCAAAACTCTGTGAAACAGAAATCAAATGTAATTTTACAAATTGTTACCGATGCTGCTGTGAACAAGGTTAAATGTTTAGTTAGATGTTTGCTGGACGGAGGTAGTCAAACGTGTTTTATATGTGAAAAGTTAAATTTGCCTGTTACAGGAGAAATTGATCTTAATATTCATACATTTAGATCTAGTAAAAGTGTAAATAGTCGTAGAACGAAAGTGAAATTGAAACTTGTTGATCTAATTAATCCTGATAAGTTTGTTATTGTTGAAGCTATTGAGTATCTCGTGATTACTGCTGCTGAAATTAAAATGTCTGGCGATGACTTAACTAAAACTTTGCATTCTTTGGGAATAAAATTTTCAGATGATGTGCCAACTGATCAACAACTGTATAACGAAATGTGTAATGAAATTTCAGTGCTATTAGGAAGTGATGTTTACTGGAAAAATCGAACGAATAAATACAGCATTAGTTGCTGTAGAGACTAGATTAGGATGGTGTATTCAAGGTTCCGTTATGAGTGTTGATTTACGATCAATGACTGCAGACGCTCTTTGTGAAAACTGCTTTGCGATTGGCAGCTTTTGGAAGCAAGAGAGTTCGCTGTATACACTGAGAAATTATTTTCGGATCTCTTTCGTTGTACTGTGAAGTGAAGAGAAGTCAATATCAGCAACTTGGAATCGGAGTTTGTTTTTATGCACGAGCGTTGATTTTTATGACTTCTTAAGTCAGTTTTCTGCTTGGATATATATTATGGCGGCGAAAAAAGTTAATAAGAAGTATTTAACTTCTTTTAACCAATCTTATTCGGAAGAATTTCCAGGAATCATTCCTTCTAAAAAAGGATCAAATTATGCCTTCTGCACGTTTTGTTCAGTGGATTTTTCAATAATGCATAAAGGCAAAGGTGACATATCCGCTCATGTTTCGAGACAGAAACATGTCGATAATCAGAGGATACGCACAGAGAATAAAAAAATTGATTTTTCTGTGAAAAAAAATGATAATTCTACAATCCGCGCAGAGGCGCTCTTCACATCATTTATTGTGGAAATCAATGTTGCCGACCATGTTGATCCCCTAATGCGGAATATGTTCCCAGACAGCAAGATTGCCAAGGAGTATAGCTGTGCGAGAACAAAAACAACAGCGATTGTTGGAGAAATGGCAAGATCCAACAAATTGGAAATTACTAATCTGCTAAAAAGCAACGTGTTTTCAATTTCGACTGATGGAAGCAACAAGGGTGACAGTAAATTGTTTCCAATTGTTGCTACTTTCTATGATGAGAAGAAAACACTGATTGACTCATGTTTGATATCTGTACCTGCTTTGGAGGGAGATGCCACTGGTGTAATTGATTGATTGATTGAATGTAGAAGTTTTATGGCACAAGATCCAAAGGAGGATATGCTGCGCCAAACAATTTGTTGAGTNAAATTGCTTAGCTTTAGGTGTGGATAATGCTCCTGTGATGACAGGGGGAAAAAATGGAGTGGCAGGAATGCTTACTAAAGACATTCCAGACTTATTTGTGCAAGGATGCTTATGCCATCTTTTAAATTTGGCAGCTGAAAGAGGGGCAAAGTGCTTGCCAATAAATATCGAAGAATATATTGTGGATATATTTTTTTATTTGGAAAAAAGTGTTAAGCGCCAAGAAATTCCAAGAATTACATAGTACGGAGGTACGTAAAATATTGAAACATGTAGGTACTCGATGGTTATCTGTTGGACGTTGTCTGTCCAGAGTTTTACAGCAATGGGAGCCGCTAACTTCTTTTTTTAAAGAAGAAGTGAAGAGCACTCCAAGTGTTGCCCTTCCCAATTATGTCATTCCAAAGAAGAAGAGTAACCTCTCTCACAATGAAGCAAGAAAGATAATAAAAAAAAGAGAAGATGACAACGTTATGCCTCCTCCATCAAAAAAACCAAAGGTAGAGGACTTTTCAGCAAAGAATGAAATTCTTTCCAGAGAAGAAAGAATCTTCATGTTTTTGTCTTCAGACCTAAATAAAGCCTTTGTACACTTCTTGCTATTTATAGTTCCTCTATTTGAAAACCTAAATTTGCAATTGCAGAGTAACATTCCCAAAATTCATGTCATGGGGCAGTTAATGAATAACCTTTTCAAGGATATTTTATCTAAATTTATGCTACCCAATATAGTAAAAAGTCAATCCAAAAGCTCTTTATTGGATGTCAACTTTTATCTTCGAGAGAACCAGAAAGATGATTGTGACCTAGTAATTGGACATTCCACTTTATCTATTGTTGAGACTTTGAAAGGAAAAGACAAAGATTCTTTTTATTGCGATGTTAGGAAATATTTTGTAAAGGTTTGTGACTACATGCGACAAAAATTTCCTTATAATGATGAGGTCGTTATTAATGCAGAAGTTGCAAATCTAGACAATGTGGAAACTACATCTTTTTCCAGCATTAGATTTTTTATTAATAGATTTCCTCAGTTGTTGCAAATCTTAGGGGGTGATAAAGATTCAGTGTTGGACAGTTTGCAGTCCCAATTTAGCTCTTTGCAACTAGAATCTATTGATTGTGTTCAGTCTGAAGAGCGGATGGATTCTAAATGGGCAAAATTATCTGTTGTATTTGAAAATAAATATGCTATGTTGTCTAAATTTATGCTATCAATTTTGGCAATTCCCCATAGCAATGCTGAGTGTGAGCGCATTTTCAGTTTAGTAACCAAAGCTCACACACAGTTTAGATCTTCAATGTCAGTAAAAAACTTGGAAAACTTAATCACTGTTAAATCTAGAATTTCTGAACCCTGTTATAAGCAGAAGTTTNCATACCTTTTATCTGATTCTATTTACAAACTTATACCATTTTATCAGTTATAATTGTACGACAAATAAAGTGGTGCATGTACTTTGCTTTTTTAACTGTTTTACCGTACTGTATGGCGCAGCATGTCCTCGTTTGGACTTTGTGCCACTAAACCCTACATTCAATTCAATTCAATTCTAAAAACTGCACTGAAGCTGTGGCAAAATTTATTGCAACATCAATGCAGCCATTTGCAACGATGGATAATCCAAAGTTCATCGAAATGGTGAGGATTTTGAACCCAAAATATAAGTTGCCTGGAAGAAAACACATTTCAACTGCAGCTATCCCGAAATTATGTAACGATACGGTTGAAAAGATAAACGCTGAAATATCTTCCATACAGAGTTGTCATATAGCAATCACTACTGACTGTTAGACATCCATAACAAATACTCCTTTTCCAGCAGTGACTGCTCATTATATTTCAAATGAATGGCAGCTTCTAAGTGCTTGTTTGAACTGCAAGAATTTCATAGAGGACTATACATCAGAAAATTTTATTGAAATGCTAACTAATACTTTAAAAGATTGGAATATTGATATTAAAACATTGCCCTCAATAACATCTGATAATGGCACTAACATTGTTAAAGCTATCAAAGATCTTAAGGTTAACCAGATTTCATGTTTTGCCCATAATATAAACATTGGTATCAACCAATCTCTACAACAGTCTTCCCTGAAGAGAGCAATTTCTCTCTTGAAAAAGCTACAAAACACCATTTCTCATTCGTGAAAGATGAAAAGAAATTTACAGCATGACTCTTGAAAGCTTACCAAGTGCATGTCCAACACGTTGGTGGAGTACAACAAAACTTTGTAGGCGATTTTTGCCTAATCAGCTTCCTCTCTGCAAAATTTTTTTGGATTATCCCCCCAGAAAACATTTAATGCTTGAAGGATCTGACATCAATGTGCTTCAAGATTTTGTAACCGTAACAAATATGCTTGAAGAAATGACAAAATCTCTAAAAGGAAGCAATTACATCACAGCTTCCTGCGTTCCACCACTGTTAAGTAAAGTTTTAAAAAAAAATCTTCAAGCTAATGACAGTGACTCTAAAATTAGCAGGAGTATCAAAAAAGAAATTCTGGGTGCTCTTGAAGCCAAATACAAAGATTCATCAATGGTATTGATCTTGGGTCTTTGTTCATTGTGTGACCCAAGATTTAAAATTAAACATCTAGAAAAATGCTACTGCAGTTAAAAGAAAAGTAGAGCGAATGAACTTATGGCTGAGTCCTATATAATGCAAGATGAACCACAAATAAGTGCTTCTTCTTCATCAAGTTCTCAAAGAATAAAAAAAGACCTTGCTAAGTTCTTTGACTCAGATGAAGAAGAGGACTTGAATGCTGGGGAATATACTCCAATAGCAAAAGCTGAGAGGGAGCTGAACGAATATTTAAATGTTTCAAAAATAAACATTTCGGATTGCCCATTAATGTGGCGGAAAAGACATAGCTCCTCCTTTCTGAAATGACATTGCGAGGCGATTCCTAGCAATACCAGGGAAAGTGTCCCATCAGAAAGTGAGTTAAGTGTTGCAGGTAATGTCATTACTGAAGATCATGCATCTGTATTGCCCGACAAAGCTGAGATGCAGATATTTTTAAGTAAAAATTCAAAATATGTTTAATTGTGTTGCAAAATTATGAGAAATAGTGTTGTGATGTTTACAAATGTGTTAATAAAATTTTTCTGTTTTAAAATAAATGGTGCATCATAATTAGTTGATTCTATGGGATACTTATACTGTGAGCTACCATAGGATAAGTATCTCATATCTTTAAATGACGATACCTATCTTTTAGAATGATGCTCTTAAAACACATAAATTTTTATTTTGAAAAAAGTCTAGCTTTTATAATACATAAGCTAAATGACCACGGTACATCATAATATCGTGATATGAAGCAGACAATATACCACAATACTGAAATTCTGATACTGTCCAGCCCTAATGTGTATATATATATTGTCAAAAGTATGTGGGTGCTGAAATACATTGACCTATGCAATTAAGTTGAACTAGTTTCAATTTATTTCAAAGTTTTGATTTGTATTATTTTACTTAATTTTTTAAATTAAATTGTATTTATGAGTTATATGTTGCTTTTATTTATAAAAATAACAAAGATATATTTTTATACTACAAAGTTTTATTTAAATTAATTTATTGCTTTTTTTGTTAACTTTATTGATAAAGATTTTGAAGTAATTTTCTATTTTTATAGAGTGATGATGAAACTGGATTTAATTTTAGTGAACCAGGTTTTGATTTTAATGAATCAGATGATGAATTAATAATTGTTTTGTTTGTACTCCCCCTCGTGGACGTATGAGTAGAATTGGTGGGACAGTTTAACGAGATAATAAAAAAGGTGTGCTAGAATTTGAATGACCTCGTTAGAATATGTATTCAAGCTGATGGTCTGGAAAAAAGTGATACAGCGACGGATCTGCAAAACTTCAGCCCACCAGTGTTAATTGCAAGAAACTTATATTTGCAGCCAGCCACAGATCTTTCTTAAAGAATGTTGATCCAAAAGAGCCATCGGATAAGTTGATCTTCTTCGACTTCGAGACTGATCAGTCATCAGGTGAGCATATTGTTAATCTGGCTGTAGCTCAAACAGCAGACGGGTCTGAATTTGTCTTTAAAGATGCAGAATCATAGACTCTGCAGCGGCTGCTGCTTTCGAGCCAATTTCATGCTAAACGCCGAAATGTGGCAAACTTACGTCGCCAGTTGGCGATAAGGACAATCACGATTGCAGACCTAACTGCACCTGTTTTTCTTCTCAGTTCGGTCTGTGACGACGTCTGTGTATGTTACTGGGACAACCTGTCCGCCACGATGTTTAATCTAGAACTTAACTAACTTGTGACCTTAATTGTTATCCTTTTATTAAATTTATTATTATTTAATTATGGCTGGCATTCTGTTAACTATTCGTGCTAATTGTTTCTATTCTTTAATCAACTTAATTATTCATTTTAGATCATCTCTCTATTTGAATATTGTGTTTTTATTTTAGGAGCCGCGTTAACTTCCACGTGTCTCCTCAACTCTATAAATTTCATGCATATGCCTTTATCTAAACTTCCAACAACCTATGGTCTTGATGAATTACACAAGGGGTTTCCCCCCTCCCCCCATCATTTTAATACACCCCAGAATCAAAAATATATTAGCCCCATGTCGGATGCTAATTTTTATTCTCCAAATTCAATGAGTAGCAAAGCTCGAGCGGAATTCTTTAAATGGTACGAGCAAGAGAACAATAAAATCTTTAACTTTGAAGAAGAAATCTTAGCCTATTGCAAGTAAAAAAAAAATTTCCTGTTTTGTACGTTTTTTTTCTTATTTATTTCATTTAAAAATTCAATATTTTCTATAGATCAGATGTTGATATTTTGAAGCGATCCTGCCTAATTTACCGAAAAGAGTTCTTGATGTTGGAGGTGTCGACCCTCTCCAGTAAGTATATTTTTACACGAGTAATTTTTAGTTGTACGTCATTGCATTTAAGTAATGCATTATTTATGTTTTTAGGTATAGTAACCATTGCATCATCTAGTATGGCCATATTTAGAAGTGATCATATACAACCAGACACCATTGCTATGGTACCCGTTTCTGGTTACACGACAAAAGACAATTACAGTCCCGACTCTATTATTAGATGGTTGGATTTTTCAGCTATGAAAGAGGGTAACAGTATTGCACATGCGCCCATTAGAACAGGGGAAGTATGGATTGGTGGACATTTTGTGGATGGAATTTGTGTGGGTACAAACACTGTGTATTAATATTATCTAAGTAATGAGTCTTTGAAGTTGTATATATATTTGTTAATTTTTGTGTATACAGGGTGTCCCAAAAGGTCGTTTACAAACTTAACATGCTGGTCTGTCATATCATGATGAACAAGATTTACATAGGAACTTGTGTCGGAAAATTAAAACTTTGACCGCTAGAGGGCGATAAGTGCAGGTTTGGATGAGGAGAAAAAAAATGATATCGATAGCGGTGTTAATATGATTTTTACTATAAAACATCATTACATCACAGCAAATGCTCAAAATTCCTTCCATTCGCCACAATACACGTTTCACAGCTTCGGCGCATGGATTTCACGAACCCGTTCAAATTGGCCAGGAGTGTCACGGACACATTTTCGGACTAATTTTCGGACACAAGTTCCTATGTAAATCTTGTTCATCATGATATGACAGACCAGCATGTTAAGTTTGTAAACGACCTTTTGGGACACCCTGTATGATACTAACTTAATTTTAAGGGTTGCTTCTATCATGGCTGTCTCAGTTGTTTTGATGGAGATCAGATTCATACTTTGAAAGGTGTAGCGATGACAGCTCTACGACAATCAACTGAAGAGACGAACGAATTTGAAGAAAGATGATCAGGAGCTCAAAAAATTTTTTTTCTCTCATAAGTTGAAAGATCGCCTTATTCCAAGAGACGCATTTAAAGTTGCAGAACCAATGCTATCAAACTTTTCATTAAGGGAATGCAAAATATGTAGAATTCACATCTCTTTATCCATCGGTAATTATTATTATTATTATTTTTTTTTTGTAACCTAGGTGAGCAAATATCCTGTTAGTCACCTCTACATTATCACCGAAAGTTTTATGTCTCGGGAAAATTATTTTGGTATCGTGATGCAAAAAAGCGCAAGGTTGTATATACAGGCCTGAAACTAAATTGTATAGAATCGTCTATGACAAGAGAGTCAAACAGTAAAATTTCATGACATTGCCTTATGATTATTGATGACCCAACAGCAACTTTGAGGGTTAGCCTAACGGTTATCTCTTTGGTATCATCTGTCCACTAAAGAGAGGATTATGGCTCCTGGCAATTGACCTCTTTAAAATAAATACATCTTTAACCACTCGGGTGATGAGGAAAAAAGGTTCTTTAATAATTATATGAGAGATGTGTGTGTGTGAGTGAGGGAATGAATGTTTTCAAGAAAA